TAAAAGATATATTTAATTATAAATTGTTAAAGAAAATTAAATTTTCTTTAGCAGAATTTTGGTACAAGTGATTGTCGGAAAGAGTTAGCAATTTGTGTCGTATTAAGTACTTAAATTCTTGATTTTGTAACTTTTCCAAATGATGATAAGGTTGAAGTAGAAAATGAAATCAAAGAACAATTTGTTAAACTTTAAAGAAATGAGAATTTATAAATAACTAAAAGTATTTTTATATTAATAACAGCCTCAGAAGTTAATGCTTGGAATAAGTTTAGTAAACTAACTGAAATAAGAATAATATGTATTTTAAGTATTGTATTATTTTATTTAAAATAATATTTTATTACTAATAAGATTTTTTCTAATTATATTTTTATTATTTCTAGCTTGAAAAAAAAAAAGATTTCTCTGTTGAATGTTCACAATTAGTCTTGATACTTGATTCTATTTAGCAATCTCAAAATCTTAATGTAGTAATAGATATTAATATTAGAGTTATCAATAAGAAGCTTGAATTAGCTATTTTAATTAACTAATATTATAGTTATGAGACATATCTAATCAAAGAATGAAGAAAAAGATTGTAGAATTATTCAAATTTATTCTAAATAATAAATACAGCAGTTTTATATTATATCATTCTTTAAATGAATCTGCTTGTTCTGGTGTTTCATATCAAAATTACTAAAGAATAAGAGCAAGACTTGAATGATTAAATGATAAAATAAAAAACTTAGTTAATAAGTTAATTTTTATTTTTTAACTTATATATTAAATAACACTCATTATAGCTTTTTTGTTAATGAATATTATTGAATTAAGTAAATAAGTAATTAAAAATAAAAACTAGAAAATTTAAGCTTCTTGTATATAATATAATTTTTGATTTGCATATAAAAAAATAAGCAATATTAAGAATGAAAAAGAAGCATTTAAGCAGTATTTAAAGTCTTCTAAGATATAATTCTGTTAGACAATATAATCATGAATCATTTATAAGGAAGTTATAAGCATTACTAAAGATAAAAGAAAACATTTGAATGATATTTAAAAACTGGTAAAGATGTTAACTTAGATCAGTTAGTAAAGAAAAGTATAAGTACTATTAAGAATAAATAAGAATATTTATATAGTATTTAAAATTATACTAATAAATTAAGCAAACATAAACCAGAGATCAGGTTGTACTGAAGAAACTGAAGCTAAAATATACTATCATCTTATACTAAACATGTCTATTAGCAATACTAAGATTTAACAAACAAATCTAACTAATATTATACTTTTACTTAAGTTAATTAGATATTAAAAATTTATTAGATTAGTTTGCTAAGAGTGATAATTCAGATAATCTATTTTATTATAAAAAAAAACAGACTAAAGGTAATAATTCTGATAAGCAATATAATCCTATAAAAAGATATAAGTATTTTATTAAAGTAGTAATTATAATGTAATATTGAATTTTATTATATAAATATACAAGCATTACTGAGAATAATAAAAAAGCATTCAAAAATAATATTTGAATTTTTTAAAGATCATAATAAAAAAAGATGTCTTAGTATTATTTAAATTCTCTTGTTTTTATTTTTGATTATTTGAATATATAATTAGGTATTAAATATTTAACTTAATTAATCAATTATAATTAGATTTTTTTTATTTGATTATTTATTCAGTTTAAATATTGATTTTTTTTAATTTAATATTTATAATATAAGGTTAGCAAAATTTCAATTGCAAATGTGAGTCTGGTGTATTTAGTTTTACAAAGAGGATTTGAAATTAGACAGATTAATAATACTATTTTTTCTTTCAAGTTCTTGTACTTTATTATAAAAATTTAAATTATTATTCTTTTATTGAATCATATACAAATATTGATGAACTTTTATATATTTCAGTAAAAGTTTTTTTCAGCTTTGTTACAATTTATTTTCTTTAATTTCAGATAATGATTGTACAATTTTTACTTATATTTTATCTTCTTCTTTTATTTATTATCTTGAAAAAGGTAATTTTGTGTCATTTGATGAAAAATTAGATTTATTAACTGTTAATAATTCAATATATGAATTGTTTAATTATTTTAATACTTCTAATATGAAGCAAAGATTGTGAGAAATTTTATAAAAATTTTTTAACAATTTTATTAATAAAATATAATAATAAATAGTTTGCATTTTAATAATTTTATATATAATTTGTAAATTTAAAAATTTATCTTTTATAATTTAAATTTTAAAAAGATTTAATAGATTTATTAAATAAATAATGCAAAAAAAATTATAAATATTTATCTACTAAATTTTGTTTTTTTTTGTAATACTTATACATATTAAAAATAAAAATATATATACGTAATTTTTAATTAAATAATTAAATATTATATATAAACAAATTGTTAATAATTTAAAAAATAAAAATTTAATAATTTTAATACCGTATAACTACAAAATAATGCACTAGGGTGTTATTTCAAATTTTAGTCTGAATTAAGCCTAATTTAGACCAAAATTTGAAAATACACTCTTGTACATTATTTTGCAGTTATATAGTAGGTTATATTTAAATTTTGGTTAAAATAATTCAATTATTAAAGCTTATATTTAAAATGTGACTAATACAACTTAATTTAAAGTGGATAAAATTTATAAAAATTTTATATTAAAGCCAATGTAACCTTTATATATATTATTCGGGGTCCTGGTACTATCCATTTTTGCCGTGTAACATTTTATCCAATCATCCAATCAAAATTAAAGCCGCTATGCTGATCCCGGATTTGAAATTATCCGGTGAACGGATCCGAATCGAATCCAGATCTTCGGATCCGAATCGAATCCGGATCTTCGGATCCTTTTTGCGGAACACAGTCCAAATGTGCAATATATAGATGGATATTACATTAGCAGAATACATACGAAGAGAATAATTGAAATCAGAATTAAGAAATTAACAACCATAGTAATCTTGAAACCAAATTTGGTCAGTTTAAGATATCAAGTAATCTCAGGTTATCGATATATCTGATGATTTCGAATTTTCGAACTCTGTGCAAATCACGTACATAAGTAGCTCATATTGAAGTTTATTTTCATTTTCGGGGTAGTTTTCGCTCTTTTTACCTCAAATATTTAATATTTCATATGTCATCATGCATTTTGATTATACCCGGAATTTAAAATGTCATTCTGCAGTACGTAATGTCTATAATAATCGCCAGTACTATTGCTACCATTTTTGGTACAGAACTAGGCGTGACATGAAAATCGAAACGATTATAAATTTTTTTAAAAAATAGGTTCTAACACCTATGAAATTTTCGCTTTAATTAAAAAGAAATTTTTTTGGAAAATTTAAGCTATCCTAACCTTAACCTGGCTGTTGTTTGCTTTTAAGGAAGACTTTAATTAAAGGGTAGCGATGTATTGCACGATGAATAATAATTTTTTTAATAACTTTATACGTATTCAGTTTATCTGAACATCAACGATCAGTAATTAATTAAAATGCAATGCAATCTTTCCTATTAGAATGGGATTGTCCCGAGCAGAACACGCATCACTATGTGTGATCAAAGAGTTTAAGTACTGTACCCCGTGGGTTGCAAAAAGGTGACGATAAAGGAGTACATGATTTTAGGATCGTACGCAGATATACATCAAAGTGTGGGATTTTGAAAAATGAATGCCTTTAATCATATGTAACAAAAAATCTTTGTTTTAGCTGTTTAATTTTGGCTACAATAAAAGACTCAAAAAGGCAAACCTTTGTAATTTAATAAAGCTTTTCAAATGAAAGGTTTGTCTTTCGAAATATATAAATACGCCTTGAATTCTTCATGCACCGAATAATTAACTTGTTAACATTCTTATTATCTTGAACTAATATTAAAAGAATCGTAGCATTTAAAACGTTCTCATAACCTTCAAGCAATCATGAAATTCTTATCAATATTGACCTTTGCTCTTGTACTTATAATTGCTATTGTTCATGCAACCCCTGTTAAAAGAAGCATACAAAACAAAGTAGGAACACAGGGAGTACGTTTCCAAGATTCCTATAGGCAATATATTAAATCCGTGAAAGGTGTCTATGATGACTACAAAAGCAAAATCGATTCTTTCAATAAAGAGATCAAAGCTGCCGCAAAAGAAGATCATACAGACGAAGCAGACGTAAAATGGCTAATTGGATGGAATGGCAAATATGATGATAAAGTAAATGACTTTAAGTCAACTGCCGACGAATTGGATAGTTTAGTCGATAAACTTCAAGAAAAATTATCCGCTTATCAATAAATTTTATTTTATTTTATTCATAATATTGCTCTTTAATATTAAATATGATAATTTAAATTATTATAAAAGTTATTTCTTGTTAATTATATAATTTTTTGAAAGGTTTAATAATGTCCCTTTTCTAAACCTATACACTAATAATTGAATCGATCAATTGGTTATAATGTCTGTTATTCATTCAATAATAACTTTTCTTTTGACGATGACAAATATCGAATTTATTATTCATTATTTATTTTCTTTAAATTTCATGCATCTGTTCAATACAACTCTAAAGAAAAACAGCTCTATTTCATTTTATTATTAATTATTGATTTTCTTTAAATTGCATGCATCTATTCAATAAAGCTCTAAATAATAACAGCTCTATTTCATTTTATTATTAATTATTTATTTTCTTTAAATTGCATGTATCTATTCAATAAAGCTCTAAAGAAAAACAGCTCTAGTTCATTTTATTATTAATTATTTGTTTTCTTTAAATTGCATGTATCTATTCAATTAATTACTGAATAAATTATTTAATACTTATAACTTTAATTGGGATCTTTGCTATGAATTTTTTTACTAAAAATAGATTTATTATGATTTTCCAAATTAAAATATTGTGTAACAATGGCCCCAATTTGTCTTTTCCTTTTTATGTACACCCATAATAACTGGATTAATGTTTACGATATCTTATACGTACTTTTTTTGCTCACTTCATGTCGATGTTCTACGTAATTTTTCGATTGCATTGTTGTCACTTTGCAATCGGTAACCAGTTTATTCTTTTATATAATAAATCTTTTAGCGAATATGTTAATAAACCACCTTGTTCTTTAAAAAAAACAATAAACTACTTGACAGGTTTATAGATTTTATTTAAATGAAACCATTTTATAAAAACTATTTAAAAACTTAATTTATTTATTTATTACCCATTCTTTTATATATACAAAATTTCAAAATACATAATAGTTATAAAAAAATGCAATAGGCTTTTTAAATAAACATAGTAATTTTCTATAACGAACTTGCCTTTCTTTCAAACTGTCAGTTATTTAAGAAGTTACTATAATCTTTTTTTTTGTAATAATAAAAATAATATATAAAGAATCAAAAAAATAATTGCTTTACGAAAAATACAATAAATGCAGTGCAAAAGAAATTAATATAGACCATTACTGTTGTTATTGACGACACAAAAAATTTCCGGCACGTGATTCTAGCCAATTAGATTGAAGGAGCAGGTGTAACGTGAAAATCACGTCTTTTAATAAAATCGAAATTTTACCTATGAAACTGCCTTCTGCATTCTAATATAAAAATTTCTCGTGAAATTTTAGTATAAGCTATGCCCTTCCTCAACCTAATCCTAACCCTAAATATGATGCTTATTACTTAAAATCTTTTCGCTAAATTCGATTATTTGATTTTACGCTACATCCGAAATCACGTGCCGGGAAATTTTTTTCAAACATCATTTGCTCAAGAAATAGTATCATGTGATTAAAATTTCTAGTACTGTGGTAAGCCCGAAATTCGAAACAACCACATGATCTTCATAATTTCAGCCAGAGTTACTGACTTGAAGCTTAATTCTAGCCAAAATCGAAATTTTTACCTAAGTCGATCGAAATTTTTGCTTTTAATATTTCGCCACTATGTGATCTTATAAAAAAATTGTTTCCAATTCGTTTAGGGTTAGGGTACCACCAGTAGGTTAATGTTTGGTTTAAAGGGTCATGGTTATAGTAAAATTTTATGAGGATTTTTTTGTTAGTACGCAGAAGGCACTTTAATGGGCAAAATTTTTAAGCTACAAGCGTTTTTTTCTTGGTTTGATTTTTTTGCGTTATACGAGATCTTGAAATCTGCGAATTTTTTTGACTGGTGATTTATCTGCTATTTGTCATAGTCACCGGGACTATCACATGATCATCCGAAGTACAACCAGTTAACCTGTACAATTGGTTGAGAATTGTACAGAATATAAAAAAACATTAGGAATGAGTGAAGATTCTGAAAAGGTCTGAAAAAGTCTGAAAAGGAAATAAGTAAACATAAGAGATGAGCAAGTTAAAGACAAAATTTGAGTAAAAATTTGAGCTTTCTGAAGGTAAAGTATAAAGTAATCTTAACCAGTTGCAATCAGTTAACATAAAATATTTTTGTTTGGTTAACTGGTTAAGAAATTTTTTCTTAGTTCAAATCACTAGCTGATACTCTTCATAGGCAGTATTTATCTAATGTATTTGACAAACAATTAAAGGAGTTGCAAGATAAATTTTTTAATAAGCCAGTAGTTATTATAATTGATAAAATTACAAACATTTTTGTATATAGTGTTATAAACACTTTATTCTGTTATTACAATTTAACAAAATTAATTTTAGTAAATTTTGTAAACATAGTTAATAATATAGTAGTAAGGCAACTTGAATTAAAACTTTAGTAAAGTAGTTAATTTCTTTTAACAAATTATAATTTTTTGTATCTGATTTAGTTTTGTATATAAAAAATGTTTTTAAAATATAATAAAGCAGTTATATTACAACTTAGATATAATCTATATTCTGCTTATATTATTAATTTAATTAAGTATATAGTTTATTATATTAGTTTATATTATAAAATATTAAATAATCAAAAGGAATTTGCACTTTCTCTACTGATCATCTAAACACAAAATTAGATAAAAGAAGAAACTAAGTTTATGCAAAAGTAACTATTTAAACCCTTTTAGTAGGTTTAAATAAAAAGAAAAAGCACTTAAAAAAAAGAAAAAAACAGTTAAATACAAGAGATACAACAAAAAAAAAGCAAAAAAAACTCTAAAACTTTAAAGAAAATATTCAAAAAACAAATAATTTGTTTTATTTTTAGAAAATTGATACTAACTATGTATTGCAAATTTGTTTTGATTACAAGAATATAAACAAACAAATAAATTAATCACATATTAAATAAACAAAACAAAAACATGCTTAATATAGATTAGAAATATGAATATAACAAAAGAATGTAGCAACAGTCTAATAATAACATATATTAAAAGAGCATACTGGATTATTAATAGTATATACAATGGTGTGTTCCTTAAACAAGCAAGTGAAACATATATAACACCTAGCAGTGAAAATAAAATTGTTACTATAATGGCAGAACAGAATTCAGATAAGTTTATTTTACTAAGAATAATAAGAAAACTTATAAAAAGAGCAAAGAAAAAACAACCAAAGAGAAAATTAAGCATAATAGAATGAAGCAATTATGCAATAATAGTAGAACCTATTTTTGAAACAAATATAAGACAAACCAAAAGAAGAACAATACTAAATTACAAAGACAAAAAAGATTCAAAAAATTGAACAAAATGTGATGCCAAAAGAAAAATCAGAAAAAAAAACTAATATAAAAAAAAGATACAAGAAAACAGTAAAACAATTTAACAAAGAAAAATAACAAAAGCAAGTTCTAGTAATATTAGCAGAATAGAAATAAATCAAAATCAACAGAAACAAGAAGAAACAGAAGAATATAAACAAAAAAGTATGAATGTAATTAGAAAAGAATCAAGACATAACAATAGAAAAAACAAAGAGACTAAAAAGTGTAGAACAAAAAATTGAAATAAAAATTAATGAATATATATTATTTCATTGATAATCACTTCACTGAACACCTCATTGTACAAAGCAATGATTAATATTTGATGATTGTTCAGTAAAGTGATTATTGATGAAATGATATGTATCCAAAATTGATATAGTAAGTGTGTTATTAGAGAAAAGCATGTAAGCACTGAACAAAAGAAGCTGCAATCAAAGCAATAATCTACTTGCTAATATACCAGCATATGATGTATTAGGAAAGACAAGTAAAGAGTATATAAAGTTTATTAAATAGATACTAAAGAACAATAAATATGTCAAAGACATTAAAGAAGTTTTTAAGAAAAAGAACTTATAGATAAAAGCAGATTTTGACTATAAATATGACAGAAAAGAAGCTATACAAAGAATTAGCAAAAAAAAAGTAATTGGTACAAAATAGTATCAAAAAAAAAGAAAAAAACAAAAAAGAAAAACATAAGAAAGATAATAAAGAAGCTTAATAAAAAAGAAATAACACTTTAAAAATAAAAAAAAAGAATCAAAAAAGAGAAAAAAATAAAACAAAAATGTATAAAAACCAACATGAAACAGAAGAGAAACATAGAAATAAAAACTATATAATAATATGAGACCTACTAACAGATATAAACAGAAAAAAACTAAAATATATTTGTAGAAAATTTAAAAAAACCTATATAATAGAAATCAAAAAATCTAAATACAAATCTTAGTAATAGTGCAAATAGCAAACACAAACAAAGAAAACAACCTATAGACTATATTAGTTAACAATAACAAACTGATATAAATGACAATAGGAAAAGAAAACCATAAGACAAAAGAAAGCCAAAGAAAATATACAACAAAATTAACAGAATTATTAAAGAATACTTTAGAAGTCTTATTATTATAAAGTCTAAAAAGTAAAGAAGTAAATTCAGTTTATATTTTATTAAATAGAAATGGAAACCAAAAGAGAACTGCAATAATCATATTTGTAACAGAAGAAGATATGAAGATAGTACAATCAAAATTAATTATATTTAACAATTTTTAAGTATATTGGATAAATGAAGAAAAAAAAAAACAAGAAGAAAAGAAAGGTTTAAAAAAAAATAAGAAAAAAGTTGGAACAGGTTCAGTTAAATTCTATTATAGAAGAGAATAAAAGCAGAAAAAAAAGATTGCAAGTTAATAAAATCAAAAAAGAAGAAAACTTCAGAACTACTAATAAAAAAGTAAGAGAAAGAAATAATACTTAAAGCCAAAGCTCAAAAAACTAAACTAAATATAAAAACACAATAAAAAGAAAAGAGAATAACTAAAAAAAAAAAACAATTGAATACAAAACTTAGATAAAAAAGAAAAATATATGCATAGATAAAATCTTAAACCAAA